GGGAGACTAATTTGGTAGTGAATATATTGAAAGAATACAGAAGAAAATCTATGATATCGGATATGAAAAGAAACCATTTTTATGTTTTCGATCCATCTCCAATTTTTTTGTGACTTATGCTCTCGATATATATGATTATAAAATTGTTTCATAGAGATGAGTTTCTTTCTGTACGTCTATGGACAAACCTTATAAATACTATGGAAAGTATAATTCAATATAGGAAGCTACTTGCAAGCAAGCTTCATGGATGCTTAAAAGAAGTAATTGTGATAAGAGAGGAACAATCGTATATTTCAACGCAAATCTCAATTAGTTGAAGTAATTGCGAAGATGATAAAAGTTTATTTTCGAGGGAATTTGAAATCCAATTAACTAGCTAGAAAATTGCAAACTTTGGAACTTTTATCCTAATTGACAAATAGGTTAAATATCTAGAAGATCTTGGTTGTAACCTTAATCACTGCGTCTCTATATATAGTGATGACAAAGGTTATTTTCCTACATTATCATTCTCACTTTAGTAAACTTATACTATTTAATTACTCTTCATAGTTATAATTTACTATAATTATTACTCCAAATAAATTCTTAATTTCCCCAAATAACCATAAAATAAATTCATATCTTACACCTGAACAGATCGACCCACCCACCCACAAATAAAAAAGTGGTCTTCTCCAATTATTTTTGACAAGTGTAGTATTTGAAATGATTGTCTTAATATGTAATGCTCGTGTTTGTGTTGATAATAATGAAACAGTCAACATTAGTCACAAGATAATGGTCTTACTAGTAAAAAACAAAATATATAAATTTATGATCTGTCTAATTTGATCACATTTTAACAAATTAATGATCCATTTATTTTATATAATTAAATTTATTTTAATATGTTTAATTTGACTTATTTTAAAGTTGAATATTATGCCGTCTAAATTGGTCCATGAGAAACCTTGTTTAATTTTTTATCTGTTGTTGTTGATATTGATATATTATAAATGATTATAGCATAAGAAAAAAGTTTTATTAGATACTCAAATAAAGAATTTAAAACTTAGTAAAAAGTTGGTGGATTTCGCTATGACACGGATTTTAGTTCATTTCAATTCAAGTAACTTGACTCGTCTATTTATTAACTCAATTCAATTTAATATTCTCAAATTCAATTTAATCCATCTGTTTGATTAGAGCTGTTCAAAATCGAATTGAAATCGATAATTTGAATCGAAAAAAGTTATTAGGTGATCGATAATGGGCTATTGGTTTAGTAGTTTCGGTAAAGGTTTTGATTTTTTTATTATTGGGTTTTGCTTCTTAACGGATTGAGTTTTTTCTTAACAGATAATTGATAACCCCATAGTAAATTAAATAATCATATTTATACCATTTCACATATCATTAAAGTCGTTGACTTAGAGTTTAGTCTCATACTTTTATTTTTGATTGTTTCAAACTCTCCGTTATTCTAAAATGTGAGTGTCTTTGCTTTTGAGCAAGATGCAATCTGTCAACTCATGTGCATGGTTCATTTGATTTGTCACCTTGTTTCTAAGTGATTTCCATGATTTTTTTTGTATCAAATCTTAACGGTTAAACCGATAAATTAATAACCAATAGGTCAATATCTTAATGGTTCTACAACGATTTAGCATATCTACAAAAACAACAATAAGTCGAAACGATAAATTTCAAAACTAAACCAAACCAATCAATACACCACCCTACATTTGATACTCCTAATTGTCATAATTAACGAAAATAGTAATACACAATTTTAATTGCCAATAAATGATTAAAAAAAATGTCGATTATACCATTTATTAATGAATTATAAAAAAAATTTGCTAGCTACAAACTAATGGAGGATTAGCAAGGAATTAATATCCAAACTAATTCCTTTTTTTCTCCTAATAAACGGAAAGTCATGATTAGTATTTAGAGGCATTTTAACATCCTGGCCAGAAGATGAAATAAAATGATGATCTTTTTCTTTTATATGGAACGGATATGACATGATAAAAACTTTTATTCACGAAAAAACACTTGCTTAATTATTAATTCTAGTGTGGTTAACTTGAATAAATGAGTAAAAAGATGCATAAAATCTCGTTATTAAAATCTATTAATAAAATTTCATTAATATTAATAAATGAGTAAAAAGATGTATATAGTCGGAGCCAACTATTAATGAAATTTCATTAACATTAATAATCACGTGAATAAACTATTATTAAAATCTGATTAACACTAGTCATGTAATATCTTATATTATAAGACTACAACTCAGACACACTTAATTCATATAACTTAAGAATTAAGACTTGCATTTCAAAAAAAAAAACTTAGTTAATTATATATACAATCATTTTAATTAGAGCAACTTTCACATATAGCAAACAAAAAAATCATATTTGTATGTTATAGCAAAGTTTGTATAATTGCGCTCCATAGCAAACATATATATGTATAATTCGCTATACATATACAATTGAAAGCTATGTCTATTTCGCTATACATATATACAAAAAGAAGCAATTGTATAATTCGTTGACTCCTCTTCAGATTTGTATAATTTCTCTAGCAGGCCATTTGTATAAATTATTGTTAGCCTCTCGTTTGTATAAATTGTTGACAAAAATATTTATATATCAAAAATCGCTCTCTCTTTCGCTTTATACAAACATGAATTATACATTATACAAACATAAATTATACATTATATTTGTATAATCTGTGTTTGTATAAAACGAGAAAGAGAGAAAGACAAAAGAGAACTGGGCAGGGGAATATTTGTATTGTATAATTATAAGTGTATAAGACGAATATATATGTATTTGCAGGTGTATATACAATTTCTTTCGCTTTATACAAACATAAATTATACATTATACAAACATAAATTTTACATTATATTGTATAATCTGTTTTTGTATAAAACGAGAAAGAGAGAAAGACAAAAGAGAACTGGGCAGGGGAATATTTGTATTGTATAATTATAAGTGTATAGGACGAATATATATGTATTTGCATGTGTATATACAATTTTCTCTCGCTTTATACAAACAGAAACGCAATTTATACAATTCTGTTGTATAAAGCGAGAGAGGCGAGCACAAAGAGAGCGAGCGAGAAAGGGAGAGTGGCGAGCGAGAATTTAGAGGGAGAGAGGTGACTGGCAAACGTTTGCTACGGGGCACAATTAAATCAAACAGTAGCTACTCCATTTATTTTAGATTATAAGTTTGTCATTATGTACAATTATCCCTTTTAATTATTGTTATTGTAATTGAAAAAAACTTAGATTGTTTGTATAAATAAGAATAATAACTTGATTAAGTTTGTAATTTTGTATTTGTAATTAAAGTAATTAATTTTAATTAATTATTTTTAGTAGTGGTAAGTGTGAATTGGGAACCAATTAATTGAGTGAGAACAAAATCTGTAACAAAAGTACTTTAGCTACCGTTTTTTGTTTTGAAGCCAGTAACGACATTTTGGCTTATGATTGTATTTTGTTTTTTTATTCATTACAAATGAATCATCTTTTTTTATCTCTACTTTTTATTTATTTTTTCTCTTTTTTTTTTCCTTTTTGCCACCCTTCTCTATATTCTTTTCATATTCAATAATCATCATATCCAATCCCTCATTTCTCCATTTTACACTTTGCCCCCTACAAGAAAAAAATTCTATATATAGGCGTAACTTAGGGTACAGTATCAGACCACCTGAAAAAGAAAAAAAATGAATGGAGGCGGTGAGAATAATCATGGTTTACCATGGGAAACTAATGATTTCTGGTCGTACCTGAACTTGAATGACATTCAAGTTCGGAGTGAAGAGACGTTTGAGGGAGACAAGTTGCCAGATCTGACTAGGTCTAATACTTGTCAGCCGCTGACAGTTGTTAATGAGGTGGTTGAACCGACAATTGATGTTGGTAAGAAGAGAAGTCCACCAAATCAAAAAAGGAAAGGTAAGGGAATTGCTGAACCAAATTCTGGTGCTGATGAAGCCAAAGGTAAAAAAGAATCAGAGCATGAGATACACATATGGACGGAGAGAGAAAGGAGAAAGAAGATGCGAACCCTGCTCGAGACTCTTCAGGCGTTGGTTCCTAATCTCCCTGCTAAGGTAAAAAAGAAGTTCTTACAATGATATACTTTGTTTTTTCTTATCTGATATCTTATCGATCAAAAGGAAAATAATTCAATAAATTTTATGATATCTGATTTTTTTTTTGTTATTTTCCTTTTATTGTCTTCTACAACCTTAATTAATAATCATAATCTACTCATCGAAAATTATTCAAAAAATAAACATGATTTTTTTTATCAAATAAAAACTTGTAAAAGCTTACTAAAGGAATATATATATATATATATATATATATATATATAAAGTTACAAAACTAAAATAAAAATAAAAATTAGAAAGACTATTTCAGTAGAACCTTAACCGAATTGGAATAAATTTATTTGGTGATATACACATTCCCCTTATTACTAATTTGTACATATCTACCTGTTAATTCCAAAATAGAATAATAAGATGCATTTTGTTTACCAAAAAAGAGAAGGATAAAACAATATAAAACTTCCGATTTTTTCGCATATATAGTTATAAAAAAAACTCCATAAATTTCTTTGTTTTTTATTTTCTAGCATTAGAATATGAAGTTTTCAACATTATTCTAATTCCATTCTAAATTTGTCAAAAAGAACATTTTCTTAATTCGTATAATTTTAAGATCTTTGTAACTCGGATGCGTAATAAACATGATTTAAAAATCAACAATTCCAAATTATAGCCTTTTTTTTTGTAATTTATACTTATTAAATGAATCTTTTTTAAACACTAATAAATTACTTGAAACTGATTAACTCGTATATATATAGTAGATATGGTATTCTCTTGACTTACTTTTCCTTAATTAGTGAAAATCCTGATTTCGCCTCTGAAGTAGAAATTAAATTAATTTCATATTTTTTTTGTATATGCAGGCTGATAAGTCTACAATAGTTTATGAAGCAGTGAATCACATCCTAAAACTGCAAAATACTTTCAAGAAACTTGAAAGTCAAAAGCTAAAAAGGCTAGAAGAATATAGCATAAGGTTGATGAGTTCACATAAAATTGGTAATAGGGGAGAAATATCTAGGTGATCCAGGATCAACCAGTAATTCAACAACCATTACACCAACAACTCATGGTGCTAGTCCCCTTATTCCAACATCTTTTATGACATGGAGTTCACTAAATGTGATACTAAATGTTTGTGGTGAGGATGCGCATATTAGTGTGTGTTGTCCTAAGAAGCCAGGGTTATTTACCATTATTTGTTATGTTTTGGAGAAACATAAGATTGACATTGTGTCTGCTCAAATTTCATCTGATCAATTCAGAAGCATGTTCATGATCCAAGCTCATGTAAGTCTTTCATTTTCTTCAAAATAATATATTTGTCATTTTGAACATTGTGAACTAGGGTTTTAGTTAGCACACTCTTTGATTTACTTTACGTGTCTTTGTTTGATTGATCAGGAAATTGAAGAATGAAACGTGTTAAGAAATTCTTTTGAGTTGGGTGTTTGAGAAACATATAGTTTTTTATTTTATTAGTTTCGCGTCTAATTGAAAATTTATCTTCACATGAAATGAAAGTAAAAAAAAAAAAATAGTATATATCTATCTTTTTTTTTAAATGCCTCCTCCCACCTAGTCTCACCCTGAGGTTGAAATTCTCTATTTGCTACTACATATAGTTAGCCATAGATTATGTTTAGAAATTATTTAAATTGTTTTACCTAAGGCGAGTGTTTAACAGAAATAGTCTTTCTACTTTTATAAGATCATATGGATAAACATATCTACATATTTACTGAATATATTATTATTGTTGTTATAATCACTTTGTTCTAAAAGCATGTTTGATGTATATTCAGGCTAAAGGTGGAAGAGAGTTAGCTCAATTCTCCGGAGCATTCACTGTGGAAGACATGTACAAGCGAGCTGCAAATGAGATAATGTTATTGACAACCTCCAAATGATCAATATCATATTTATTTTTGAAGTTCATTCAGTGGAGGATGAACGGTTGTCGCCATATAGGCATGTTTACTTTTCTAGTTCATCCGGTAGAAGATGAACTGTTGTGGCCGTAAAGGCTGTTTTATTTACTTTTATAGTTCATTCGATAGAGGAAGAACGGTCGTGGCCGTAAAGACTGTTTTATTTACTTTTGTAGTTCATTCGATAGAGGATGAACGACTGTGGCTGTAAAGGCTATTTTATTTTTCTTTTGCATTTTATCCAGTAGCGGATGAACATCTGTCTCCATATCGGAGAAATGAAAACTATGGAATTTGGTCCCATTAAGTTTCTTCCAATGATATTTATAAATAGCAAAAATCTTGATTTGACATATGTTTATGTGTTTGCTTTATTGATGTGTTTCGTACGGATGTATGTTTTTTTTTAAAATTCATGTTCTGTTTTAAGAATATTGTCTCTATGAAAATATATTCCTTACAAATGAGAAAAAATGTTTCGCGGTGGAAACATGAAAAAACAAATGGCATAAATTACATTAATGATTGTAAAGTCATTTAATTATAAGCAATGACTTTACACCCCCCATAATTTTAAGATCCTATTTTTTTGTTATTAATAATACATTAATTCTATGGTAATATTCCTTTATAATAAATATTTAGGGGGGAAACCACATAATATTAACTGTAAAAAAAGAGAATTATTTAACCAATATGGTATGGTTAATTTACATTCTAATATTTTTTTTCTGTAATAAAACTTATGTTTATATATTTTTTTCTTTTCCCCTTTGCTAAATCTAAAATTTACTCTTTTACTAATTCGTTGTCTGATCCATTCTCTAAATTCAAGAGATAAACGACATCAAATAAATTTAAATTATATTTCTTTTACATTCTTCCGAAGTTCTCAAACATTACAACAAATAAATTGAAATAATAAAATTTTACTATGTTATCAAGCTATCAATCTCAAAAACAAGTTCTATTCAACTATCCTTTTTTTAAAAAAAAAAAAAAACAAATGAAAATTTACAATAACTTTAATAATTTTACCTCATAGGAGTACTTTTGTTTTACTTCTTAGAATTCAAATATGTCGAGATATAAAACATGAATCATATATATAATTATGAATTTTCTTAAAATTTAAGGCCTATTATTATAAAGTTTAATTTGACTTTAAACTTCTAATATTCTTCAGCCGTGCCTGATTCTTGACTCTCACTCCATGTAATCACTCATTTTAACTCCTACCAAACAAGCCCTAAGAGATTAAAAATATCATGTTACTTAACTTTTCTAAAGAGGGTAGAGAAAACCAAAAAAAGAAGAAGCAAGGCACTTAATTATTTACTGTCCCTACTTTCATTTCAGCTTCTACAACAATTAGCACTTGAGAGAGTTCATATATCAACTTTTATTTAGGTCAATTTTTTCATATTTTATTTTAAAATTTTGTCTGTATATAAATAATTTTTTTACAAATTAGAAAATGATTTCCTTAGTAGAGCTTGAAAATAAGTGCCATAGCCGATAAGTTACATTTTAAGCTTACAATGGTCTCCTCCCCACCCCGCCGGTGCCGATTCAATGGTAAAATCATTTAATTGGAGGAAATTTCATAAATAGCTAATAATTAAAATATAATTAGTTTTCTTAGCTATAGTTTATCTAATTATATAATGTAGCTATAGTTTCAATAATTGTGACATAGTTTATTTGTATAACTCGTTGAAAATTATTTTTTTAATACAAATTGAACTCTTAACTTAATTAGTGAGGCAGTAATTTCGATTATTACAACGGAAAGAAATCCCGCAAATCATGATTATTTTATTTGATTAGAATTTCGTACCAAATATGACTTCTGCTAAACAAAGAACGATGTCAAAAAATTACCTGATAAATATACAACTCAAAGGTATATAAATATCATTAACAAATGTAACATCATATATACAAATGAATAAATGTATACAAATTCTGAAATTATACAAATAATGGTTGAGACATATATTTGTTGATAATATACAAATGGGGATAAGAGACAAGTACCCCCTATACTACGATCGAAATCCCAGAGACACACCTTAACTAAACTAAGGTCCTATTAGTACCCTTCGGAATTCATTTTAAAAATATTTTTGTGCACCTTTTGGATTACGTGGTAACTCCGTGACTTCACACAGTTGAAGTGCGTGGGAGATATTTGGATGTCATGTAAGTCAAAAAGGTGTACAAAATTACAAAAAAAAATGGGTTTAGGGGAGTAATAGGACCTTAGTTTAGTTAAGATGTGTTTCTGAGATTTCAATCATAGTCTAGGGGAGTATTTGTAACTTTTCCTTATACAAATACAAAAGAAGTAATTGTATACAATTGTTAAAAATATACAAATAAGGTCTAAAAAGTATAAACGCCGCAATAAATATTGATACGCAAAATTCATAAAATCATATACAACAGAATGTGAAAGATATTGATAGAAGTACAAATCACAAAAAATGTCTCGATTTATTCATCATCAACTTGGTCCATTAATCCATATTCATCATTTTCATCTTCAGATGTTTTTGACTCAGTGTTGATAGATGCAATTTCTTTTACTTTTTGTTTCTTTCTATCTCATTTGAATCATCTTTCTTTTGGTCAGCAACTCGCTTGAACTATCTTCCTTGTTCCTCTCTTTTTGTTCCTATTTATTGAATTAAAATCATGCAAAACTTATAGCATATTAATATACAAATGGATTTTTTTTAGAAAAAACTCACTTGAATACCTTGAATTTTCCAATTCTATTATGCAGATTCCACCATTATATGCTCGATTTTTAAAAAATATATATATGTGAATTCAATTATATTATTCTGGAATTCGAACTTTTTGTAGTTAAATTACAGAATATTATACTACAATTTCAAGAAAAATGCTGGAACTCAAATAAGATCAGGAAGTGAAAAAGATAAAGAAATGAGTCTTTGCACTCTTTTAAATTTGAGATATTTTTATCAAAATATTACTATTTTTATCAAAATATTACTTCCGCATAAAAGAATGACAAATTTCAATATTTTAAACATGATTTATATTATTCGGTGTTTATAAATTTTATATATTGATTTATATATTATTTTAATTGAGTAGAAAAATATTAAATACAAAATACAAAATATTACAAATACAACGAATTTAAGTATTTTAAAATAGTGAGAAGTTGACGATATTAATTAGTTCGACAATATTAAATATTTTAGAATATCAATAGTTCATATACGTAAAAACAAAGATATCTCCTACGTGTTTCTATATTACTAGTATATTTTTCAGTAAGTATAAAAGGTATATGAAAAGAATTAAAGAGAAGAAAGCAACTAAATAGTAAAATTATTTAATTTTGTATTCAACTTAGAATTATTTTCTTATATAAAATTACATAACTAAATTCTCCCAAATAAAATAAATTCATATCTTACACCCGAATCTATCGACCCACCCACAAATAAAAAATGGGTCTTCACCAATTAAATTTGACTAGTGTAGTATTTGAAATGATTGTCTTAATACGTAATGCTCGTGTTTATGTGTTGATAATAATAATAATGAAACAGTCAGCATTAGTCACAAGATAATGGTCCTACCTATAAAAAAAAACAAAATATATAAACAGGTATAGAGAGATTTAATTTAGGGACGGGATAAAATTAGCTTTTAAAATTATGATCGATCTAATTTGATCAGATTTTAACGAATTAATGATTCGTTTATTTTATTTAATTAAATTTATTTTAATATGTTTAATTTGACTTATTTTAAAGTTGAATATTATGCCGTCTAAATTGGTCCATGAGAAACCTTGTCTAATTTTTTATTTGTTGTTGTGATATTGATATATTATAAATGATTATTAAATAAGAAATTTTTTATTAGATACTCAAATAAAGAATTTAAAACTTAGTAAGAAGTTGGTGGATTTCACTATGACACCGATTTTAGTCCATTTCAATCCAAGTAACTTGACTCGTCTATTTATTAACTCAATTCAATTTAATATGCCCAAAATCAGTTTATTCTATCTATTTGATTAGAGCGCTATTCAAAATAAAATCGAAATCCATAATTCAAACCGTAAAAAAGTTATTAGTTTATCGATAATGGGTTATTGATTTAGTAGTTTCGGCAAAGGTTTTGATTTGTTTATTATTGGGTCATTGCTTCTTAACGGATTGAGTTTTTTCTTAACGGATAATTGATAACCCCATAGTAAATTAAATAATTATTTTCATACCATTTCGTATATCATTAAAGTCGTTGACTTAGAGTTTAGTCTCATACTTTTATTTTTAATTGTTTCAAACTCTCAGTTATTCTAAAATGTGAGTGTCTTTGCTTTTGAGCAAGATACAGTCTGCCAACTCATGTGCATTGTTCATTTGATTTGTCACCTTGTTTGTAAGTGATTTCAATGAGTTTTTTGTATCAAATCTTAACGGTTAAACCGATAAATCAATAATCGATAGGTCAATATCTTAGTGGTTCTGCAATGATTTAGCATCTCTACAAACTAACAATAAGTCAACCCGATAAATTTCAAAACTAAACCAAACCAATCAATACACCGCCCTACATTTTGATACTCCTAATTGTCATAATTAGCGAAAATAGCAATAAACAATTTTAATTATCAATAAATAATAAAAGTTTGTCGATTATACCATTTATTAATGAATTATCAAAAAAAATTGCTAGCTACAAACTAATGGAGGATTAGCAAGGAATTAATATCCTAACTAATTCCTTTTTTTTCTCCTAATAAAGGGAAAGTCATGATTAGTATTTAGAGGCATTTTAACATCCTGGCCAGAAGATGAAATAAAATGATGATCTTTTTCTTTTATATGAAACAGATATGGCATGATAGAAATTTTTATTCACGAAAAAACACTTGCTTAATTATTCATTCTAGTGTGGTTAACTTGAATAAATGAGTAAAAAGA